GGCTGGAGCTGCCGCAGCGGAAGAACCTGGCGGCGGCGTGCGCGGCGGGAGGGGGGGTTCAGCGCCCCTCTGACGGGGACTCCACTCACGGGCGCTTTGCCCAGTGACCCGGCGAACCCAACTCCCCCCGATGTGGGCAACGCTGCCGTGCCAGGAAGAGGCCCGCAAGCGGCAACTTTCGGTACACCTCCAAAGCACCCGCTAGGGAGTACCCCTTACGGTGCCGCTGAGGGGTGGGGGCACGCCCGAGGCCGTGCCGCCCCCCTCTGCGCGCCCGCCTCGCGGGCCTGTTCCTTCTCCCTGGGGTCGTTGAGGTCGTTGAGGTCGTCGTCGTCGTCGTCGTCGTCGTCGTCGTCGTCGTCGTCGTTTCCGCCTCCGCCGCCACCGCCGTCGCCGCCGCCGCCGTCGTCGTCTTCGGCGTCGTCGTCGTCTTCGTCGTCGTCGTCCTTCTCTCCGTCGTCGCGAACGTTGTCGCGGGCCCGCCTCTCCCGCTTGTGCTGGGATGTCTTTATAAGTACCTGATGTGGGTTGCACTCTGTTCAGTGCGAGGCCGGAGATCTCCACGACAAGGCTACGCTGACCCGATGGCGTCAGCAGACCCGATCGAGGTGGACTGTTGAAACTGGGCCTGGTGGGGCTCCACTTAGCGGAACAGCATACGTCAGGTTCGTGTCGTGACGACCCCGGCGTTGGTTCCTGACTCCGCGTGGATCGTTCAACCTTGAACGATCGGCGACTGTGGATCGCTCGATCGTTCCATATAGGCCGATTCTGGGCCACTGGCGGCGTTCAACCTTGAACGCCCGCGGCGGGGTCGCCGCCGGTCGACACGACGCGAACCTACCGTATATGTCCATCCGGTCCTGTCTCGCCCCCTCCCCCCAGACGTGCTCGGGCCGTGGGGAACTCACGGGGGGGGGGGCATCGGGGCCGTGTTCGGCCTCCGTGGAGCCCTCGCAGGGGCCGTTCCTTTCCCGCCCCCTCTCCCCAGACCCTTGGCCATCGCTCGGGCGTGTATTTGCCGGTCTCGTGTTTTTTGATTGTTCGCAAAATGATCCAGGAAGGATGCTCCTCGATGGTCTGCGCCGAGAGATTCGGCACGCGTCCGAGCGATGCCGAGGACATGCTCGCGTCGCGGGAAAATCACAATAGGGGTCGACCGCGAGCGGCCTCTGGGAAGCCCCGAGACCGCCAAAACATGACTCGGGATGAAAAACCGGCCCTGGGGAAGTGGTCGGGACTTCTGGAGTCCCCGCATCGGAAAAAATCGGGACATCGGAAATCTGGGTTCCCCCTGTCTCACTCCCTCACTCCCTCTCCCATCCTCTCCCCGCCGCCTCCCCCTCTCCCCCCACCTTTCCACGTAGGAAGGAGAGCTGGCCCACCCTCCCGGAAAACTCGCCAAGACTGGTCCCGGGCCCTCGCGCGCAGCCGAGGCGCACACCGGCCCTCCGCCTCGGGCACGCAGCACGCACCACCGCCGCATCCTGGGCGGAGATCGCGGGAGCGAGGGCGGCCGCCTCGCCCCGCGCCATCGAGCGGCCAGCGAGCGCCAAGGAGCGCCAGGACTGGGTCCCAGGTCCTGGCTCCCTCCCTGAGGAGGAGGAGGAGGAGGAGGAGGAGGAGGAGGAGGAGGAGGAGGAGGAGGAAGAGGAGGAGAAGGGGGAGGAGGAGGAGGGGAGGAGGAGGAGGATGGAGGAGGAGGAGGAGGAGGAGGAGGAGGAGGAGGAGGAGGTGGAGGGAGGAGGAGGAGAGGAGGAGGAAGAGGAGGAGAAGGGGGGGGCGGGGAGGAGGAGGAGGAGGAGGAGGAGGAGGAGGTGTGGCCTCACCTGGCCAGGCCCAGGCCCGGGGTTGCTCGGGCCTCGGGCCCCTCGGCCCCGAGAGAGGCCCCGCAGCTGCGCGGGCCCCGTGGGGGGGGGGGGGGGCCCGCGGTGCCAGGCCGGGCCGCTCGCGCGGCCAGAGCGGCAGCCACGTCGGCAGCAGCAGGCCAGGCGTGACGCCTGGTCAGCCCCTGCCTCGAGCCCGCTCTTCCCCGCAGGTTCGCCGACCCCCTGACACGGCTTCGGCTCGTGCCTCCTCGTCGTCCCCCCCCCTTCACAGCCTAAATTGTCCTCGTCGTCCTCCTTTTCCTTCTCCACTTCCCCCCTCCGCGCGCGGCGCCCGAACACCTCCTCCTCCTCCTCCTACCTCCTCTTCTCCTCCTCCTCCTGCTCCTCCTGCTCCTCCTGCTCCTCCTCCTGCTCCTCCTGCTCCTCCTCCTCCTCCTCCTCCTCCTCCTCCTCCTGCTCCTCCACCTCCTCCTCCTCCTCCTCCTCCTCCTCCTCCTCCTCCTTTTCTCTCGTCCTCCTCCCCACCCACCCCCGCGCGCGGCGCCTGAACACCAGGCTCGCCCGCGTGCCGGCCCGCACGCTCACCTGCCCCGGCTTGGCGTCGGACCGCAGCGCCGAGGCGCCGCGGCCGGCCCCGTTGAGCTGCGCGCTCTCGGGTTCGTACTCGGCCCCTGGCGATCTCGAGGGGTTGCGGTCTGGACGACGACGACGACGCCGCCGACGACGAGGACGACGAGGCCGACGACGACGACGCGCCGCGACGAGGACGACCACGACGACGAGGAGGACGAAGACGAGGAGGAGGACGACGAGGACGAGGAAACGACGACCGTGATGCTCCGCATCTGAGCACCTCTATCCTGATCCCGCCTTCCGCCCTTCGCCCTCCGCCCCCCCCCCGGCCTCCCAGACATCCGACGTCCCGATTTTTCGAGGCACGACCTCCCAACCGCTTCCCCAGGACCGGTTCCCATCCCGAGTCGCTTTTCGACGGTCCCGAGGCCCGGCGGAAGCTCCGGGAGGCCGAAAACGAGGAAAACCCTTATTTTTTTGATTCGCGGGTCGAGAGCGCACCTCTTCTGGTCGAAGCTAAGCGGGCCGCGCGAAGCTTGAATTAACCAAGAAGGGGGGAAGGGAATGAGCGCAGTCTCACAGCGAGGCCGGGAGGAGGCAAATCCTCGGGATCAGGAAAAAGAGGAACACCCTCCGTCTCAATTTCCTCGAGACGCCCGATGTCGGGCCAGCCCCCTCCTGGCGGTGTCGGGCTGCCCCGAGGGAGCCCGCGAGCGGGGGCGGCGCCCGCGAGCTCCGCGACAGCCCCCCCCACCCAGCAGGCAGGGCGCCCCCTCCGCGCCCCCCTCCACTGGACCGCGTGGAGCGGCACCCTCTCAGAGAGGGGAGGGACGAGAACGACGACGACGACGACGACGACGACGACGACGACAACGACGGCGAAGAAGAAGACGACGGCGACGACGGCGAAGAAGACGACAGCGACGACGACGACGACGGCGAAGAAGACGACGGCGACGGCGGCGACGACGGCGACGACGACGACGTCGACGACGACGACGGCGACAAGGACGACGACGAAGACGACGACGACGAGGACACGACGACGACGATTCGGAGGGCCTTGGTGTCACCCTGCCCGTTTCGCACCTGGGACTGTTCGATTGTGAGCGTGCTCTCTCCGCGCAGACGCAGCCCGACCTCCCGGGGCCAGATGCCCGGGGCAGGGAGAAGCCCCTTTCGCAAGGCATCCTCTGATGAAACGGCCGAGGGCCAGATCCAGCGGGCGCAGGCCAGCAACAATGACGGGGGCTACGCCCCTTCGAGAGCTGCGAGAGAGCCGATTCGCTTGTCGACTTCGGGTCGAGGGTGGGGGGCTCTGCCAAGCGAGCCGCCAGATCAGTCTGGGACTCATTTGGGGAACCCAGAAAGTACTGATATCGCTACCCCCTGGACCTCTCCTGGGGTGCGTTCTGCCCAGGACTTCGAAGCGAATTCAGCGGTGGCGACGAGGGCCTCCCAGGAGGCCCAGACAGGGGCAAACGAAGGAAGCGTAGCCGTAGGAGGTGGAGGAGGAGGTGGAGGAGGTGGAGGAGGTGGAGGAGGAGGAGGAGGAGGAGGACAACAAGCGCTTACGTATGCATCTTCACATCGGTGGGGAACGGGGGGAGGAGGAGGAGGAGGAGGAGGAGGAGGAGGAGGAGGAGGAGGAGGAGGGAGGAGGAGGAAAAGGAGGAGGAGGAGGAGCGGGGAGGAGGAGGAGGAGGAGGATGAGGATGAGGAGGAGGAGGTGCATGAGGAGGAGGATGAGGAATAGGCGAGGAGGAGGAGGAGGAGGAGGAGGAGGAGGTGGAGGAGGAGGAGGAGGAGGACCAGTGTAAACCCAAGAGTCATCGACGATATTGGAGTAAACCGTCCCTCCAAGCTCCCTCTTCATAGGCCCCTACGACGGTTCACCTCCATTGATAGAACTGCCTTGTTGGAAGGCACCCGTTTGAAGACCCTGAAGCATGCCAAAGCATTGTTCTCGGGATTTCAACCCCTGACTGTTGCGTCTCGACGATCCTGAATCGTGCCAGAACGCCATTCCTAGGACTTCAGCACAAAGAATAAACGTGACTGTTGCACCCGCATAACCCTGAATCCTTCCTAACCGCCATTTCTGGTATGTTGATGATTGGATTCCCTGAACTCTTGGAAATTGTGTAAATGAATGTGCGCGGTGCTACGGCGATCCCTGCGGCTGATCTTCCGCACCTTCCGTAAGGTGCGGAAGGTGCGGAAGGTGCGGGTCGGTCGGTCACGTCTTCGGATGTCTTCGGATGTCTTTGAATGTCTTTGGTGTCTGCGTTTGTCTTTGCACGTGTTGTTAATTCTTGCTAACTAACTAGCTGCAGTGCAAGAACAAGTCTGCGGTGTTTTATGTTGGTGATGACGAGGTTGTTTTAATACGTGGGTTGTTGCACATGTTGATTGTGCTACTGCCATCGTTACCATGCAATGTTGGTGTTGCTGCTGTTGTGGTTGTCTTTGTTGCCTCTTGTCCCGCTGTTGCGATGCATCATTGTCGTTGCAATGTGTTGCTTCGACGTTGTTGTTGTTGTTGCTGCTGTTGTTTGCTGTTGCTGTTGCTATGCGGTGGTGTTGCTGCTGTTGCTATTGGTGGCGTCGTCGTTGTCCTTCTCCTCCTCCTACTCCTCCTACTCCCCCGCCTGCGGAAACGAGGATTAGCGAGGGTAGAAGAATAAGGAGCAGCAGTCGTCGGAGTCGGAGTGGGGCTCGTCGCCATCGTCGTCGTCATCGTCGTCCTCATCGTCGTGGTCGTTGTCGGAGTCGTCGTCATCGGCAGCATCGTCCGAGTCGGAGTCGTCGTCGGAGTCATCGTCGTCGTCCTCGTCGAGGTCGTCGTTGTTGGAGTCGGAGTCGTCATCGTCGTCGTCAGAACCGTCGTCATCGTCGTCGTGGTCGTCGTCGTCGGAATCGTCGTCATAGGAACCATCGTCCGAGTCGGAGTCGTCGTCGGAGTTGTCGTCGTCGTCGTCGTCGTCGTGGTCGTCGTCGTCGTCGTCGTCGGAGTCGTCTTCGTCCTTGTCGCGGTCGTCGGAGTCGAGGCCAGAGTCTCGACCCAAGGGGGGGGCAGGCCTGAAGGGAGGAACAAACACCCCAATGGGGCGAAAGGCTAGACTTTCGGGTTCGTGGTCCCCCTCTTGGGGCCGTCTTGGGGCCCTCTTGGGCCGTCTTGGGCGCCTCTTGCCCCCATGCTCAGCCCTGCCCTCCAGAGTTCTCGGCTCCAAAGCCCAGCCGCTGCCCAGCCGCTGCCCAGCCCTGCCCAGCCCAGACGCCCAGCCCAGCCCAGCCCTGCCCAGCCCAGACGCCATGGACACGCAGATCGATCGAATGGCAGCGGCGCTGAGGAGCGTCCAGTCCGTCAGCGCTGTCGGGACTCCCACCTTATGTTCATGGAACACAGGTGGGAGGAAGAAGACAGGCGAGGGTGGACAAACTTCGCCCCAAGCCTGTCCTCCTCCTCCTCCTCCTCCTCTTCCTCCTCCTCCTCCTCTTATCCCTCCCTCCTCCTCCCCCTCCCTCTTCCCTCCTATTCCTTGTCCCGCCACCTCCCTCCACGCCCTTCTCTTCCGCCGTTCCATGCTCCCCCGCCTCATTCTTGTCCCCCCGAAAGGGGGGCTCTGCGACTATATTATGACGGCGAAGTGGTACAGGGCACTCCGGGGGTTGCAGGACATAGACGGGTCCCTCCGCTTCAGCCTCGACTTGTATGAACACGCAGTTCACAAGGTGATCGGGACGAGATGGAGGAGGAGGAGGAGGAGGAGGAGGAGGAGGAGGAGGACGAGGAGGGGGAGGAGGAGGACGAGGGGGAGGCGGAGGGGGATGGGGAGGCGGAGGAGGAGAAGGAAGAGGATGGGCATGAGGAGGCGAAGAGGGAGAAGGCGGAGGAGGAGGAGGGGGAGGATGAGAATGAGGAGGAGGAGGAGGAGGAGGAGGAGGCGGAGAGGGAAGACAATGCGGATCAGGATATGGAAGGGTGAGGAGATACCGATGTCGAATGTACGGAGTGTGATGCTGCTGATGGCGATGAGAAGCGTGATGATGATGCGGATGAGGATGATGATGTCGACGCTGCTGCTGCTGATGATGCTGATGTTGTTGATGATGACCATGCTGATGACGGTACTGCTGATGATGGTGATGTTGCTAATGATGATGCTGTTTGTGATGATGATGCGGATGAGGACGGGGCTGATGAGGATGATGCTGATGTTGATGATGATGGTGCTGATGATGCGCACGCTGCTGCTGATGATGATGAAGATGATGATGATGCTGATGATGATGCAGGTGATGGTGATGATGATAATGTGATGATGATGATGATGATGATGATGATGATGATGATGCTGATGACGAGTCTGGAGGTGGTGGTGATGCGGGGGAAGGTGATGAGGCGCAAAAGCGTGGAGCTAGCTCCACCCTTTTGCACATCATCATCGTCCCTGGTCGATTGCGGCGGTGGGGGTGAGGAGGAGGGGTGGGTGCGAGTCCCAAGGTCATTGGCCACATGGACGGCATCACACCAACGCTGGTGTGCGCCGAGGCGAAGAAAATACAGAACCTGGTCGCGGCGTGGCGCCGCGTCGTGAGGCGATCGGGGCGAGGGAGGAATGACGGGGGGAGGAGGGGAAGAAGGAGGATCAGCACATGATGGACGAAGAAGGGACGATGGAGGACGAGAAGAACGAGGATGACCCGCTGCTGCTGTCGTCGTCGCCGTCGCCGTCGTCGTCGTCGTCGTCGTAGTCGTGGTCGTCGTCCTCGTCGTCGTTCGTTTTCGCCGCCTCCCTCCATCTGACCTCTTCCAGGTGGGTTGTTCGCTCGCCCCCCACCCTCCTCGCCCGCGCACGCCCTCCCACTCCCGAGGAGGGCGATGCTGGGAGTAAGGATGACGAGGAAGAAGATGAGGATGAGGAGAGCGCGGGGAGGATGCTGGCATGGTAACAGGAGGATGCTGCAGATGAATACGAGGATGAGGACGCGGAGCAAGGGGAGGAATCGGAGTAACATCTGGAGGGGGGCACGCAGTGCCCGCCCGAGGCTGCAGTACCACATCCCCGCAGCGCTCAAGCGCGCGATGACGAAG